CTAAAATTTTTCCCTCTTCCTCCCCTCCCCTTTCCCCAGGATGGCATACAATCTGATATAAGCTATACATGCACCATCATATTAAACATATTTCCACATTAGTCATGTGGAATAATCAGAAGAAAAGGGGAAAATCATGAGAAAAAAAAAATAAGAGAAAAAAATAGCATGCTTCAACCTGCATTCAGACTCCACAGTTCTTTCTCTGGATGTGGATAGCATTTTTCATCATAAGTCTTTTGGAATTGTCATGGATCATTGCATTGCTGAGAAGAATTATGTCTATGAAAGTTGGCATCAAACAATGTTATAGCATCCAGATTCTTAAAGAAGTTAAATGAGTTACAGGAAGAAATAGATAGCAAAATATAGTAGTTAGGATCCTCAACTCTCCCGTCTCAGAACTCAACCAAAAATAAACAAGAAAGAAACTAAGGAGGTAAATAGAATGTTACAAAATTTTGATATGTCAGACCTTTAGTTCAGCTTAGACATAGAGGGCAACACTATAAGCAAATTAGAAGAGCAAAGAATAGTCTACCTGTCAGATCTATAGGGAGGGGAATAATTCATGAGCAAATGAGATAGAGAGCATTACAAAGTATAAAATAGAAAATTTTGATTATGTTAAATTAAAAATCTTTTGTACAAACAAAACTAATGCAGCCAAGATTAGAAGGAAAACAGAAAGATATCAAACAATCTTTACAGCAAGTGTCTCTGATAAAGGCCTCATTTCTCAACTATATAGAGAACTGAGTCAAATTTACAAAAATACAAACCTTTCCCCAATTGATAAATGGTCAAAAGCTATGAACAGGCAGTTTTCAGATGAAGAAATCAAAACTATCTATAAGCATGTGAAGAAGTGCTCTAAATCGCTTTTCTTTAGAGAAATCCAAATTAAAACAACTCTGAGGTACCACCTCACACCTATCAGATTGGCTTATGTGATGAAAAGGAAAATGATAAATGCTAGAGAAGTTGTGGGAAAATTGGGACATACCCTTTCATCCAGCAATATCACTACTAGACTGAATGGCTAAACAAGCTGTGATATATGAATGTAATGGAATACTGTTGTGCAATAAGAAATGATGAACAGCAGATTTCAGAAAAACCTTGAAAGACTTGTATGAACTGATAAAAAGTGAAATGAGCAGAACTAGGAAAACATTGTAAACAGTTATCAGCAGCATTGACTCAGCTCTTCTCAGCAACACCATGCAAGACAAGTACAAAGGACTCATGAAGGAAAATGCTTTCCACATCCAGATAAAGAACTGATGGATTCTGAATGTAGATTGAAACATACTTTTTTTACTTTATTCCTTCTCATTTTTTCCCTTTTGATCTGTTTCTTCTTTTACAATGGTCACTAATATGGAAATATTTTTACATGATAACACATATATAAACTACATCAAACTGCCTACCATTTTCAGAAGATGGGAGGTGAGAGGAGAGAAAGAAGAAAGGAAAAAAATTTGGAGCTCAAAATCTCGTAAAAATGAATGCTAAAAATTTTCTTGACCTGTAACTGGGGGAAAAATAAAATACTGTTTAAAAAAATAATTGACTTCTAATGCCACATCCAACTTTAAATCTATGATATCTTCCCTCAAAATTATTTTTGTATGTATCAGCCTGCAAGATAAATTGTTAATTGATATAACTTAACGGATATCACCTAAAATGACAGGGAAAATATATGCGTAACTGTTAATACACATTTTTGTTTTCTTTTATTTTTCATTGCAAAGCACTTTTTAAAAAATTATGAATTGCTTCTGCCTTTCCAATACTATTCTTTCATAGTCAAAGCACTTTTATTTTTGTTTGTGTGTGTGTGTGTGTGTACTTATTCTTAAGATAATGAGAATTGTCCATGATATGTAGCAGTAACAATGTCATTCTGTCCAAAATCCTGATGCATGATGTATTACATAAATTCTTTTACTGCTGATTCCATAATAGCTTTTAGGCATCCCATCACCATGCATGCTATTGTATTTCTTCATTACTTAATGGCATCCAGATGCATGAGCCTCATGTCACTGCCTTTCAGGTATTTTTTTTTAAGTATGTTGATACAAAATAAGTGCACTCATTTCTGCAATAAAATTTTTAAATGGCCCTCTCATACATCATAATTTAAGTTATAAAAAGAGGGTTTGATGCCTCTGTTGATAATGTTTAAAATCTGAATGGATGTCTAAAAGACTGTTGTTATTGTTTTCTATCGACTGGAAAGCACAAGGTAAAATGACATTCTTTGAAGTTAATTCTATATGAAGCCAGTCTGTTTGGAGGTCAGATAAGTAATTTTGCCTTTGTGAATGACCAGTTTAATATGAAATGTCAGAGCACACAGAATAGATTACCCACTCACTTATAATGTCCATTAAGATACTGGAGGCTCCATGAAAGCTTTGAGTGGGTGGGGCTTTTTTATGTATGTTTTAGCCATTGCCAAATTAAAATAGTGACTTGGTTCAGACCTAAGAAATATTTAAATACTACCTGGTTTATACCACAAAGAGGTCACAAACAGAAAGGTCCAATATATGACAAAAACTCCTAGCCATGCTTTTTGCAGTATTAAAAAAATGTTGGATGCCCAATAATTGGGGAATAGTTGAGAAGTTTTGGCTTTTTGTGTGTGTGTGTGAATGTAATAGATTACAAATGCAACATGAGTAAGCTAGGTGGAACAGTCATTAGGGTGTTGTATACCTGTAGTGAGGAGAAACCTAAGTTCAAATCCAGCCTCAGACACTTATTATCTGTGAGAATTCTGGGCAAGGCATTTGACCTTTGTCTACCTCAGTTTCCTTAGCTACAAAATGAGGATAAAAGTAGCACCTACCTCCCAGGGTGGTTGTGAGAGAAACATGAAATACTGTTTGTAAAATGCTTTAAAAACCTTAAAGCTCTATATAAATACTAGTTAGTATTAATACATAAGAAAAAGGTGAATGCAAGGAAATTGGGGAAACATGGGAAGATTTGCATGAACTGATAGACACTGAAATTAGCAGAACTAGGAGAACAATGTACACAATAACCATAATAATGTAAATGAAGACAACACCAGAAGGCAGGTGATGTCTCTTTACTTGTAATGGCCAATCTTGGTCCAAAAAAATACCTAGTGAAACCTCCCTTCATCCTCTCCATAGAGAAGTAGGAATCTATAGTACCTTACTGTTATTTGTTTTTGTCTATTTTTTCTTTGTTATACTGGAAGGGTCAATTACTGGGGGGTAGAGGGATACTGAAGGGGATGCAAGGAGATTAATTCAAGGAAATGACTGCAGGATATAAACAAAAGGCATCAGTAAAACTTAACACCTCTCCCCCATTTTCCCAGTAGAACGTAGGTTCCTTTAGGAAAAAAAAAACAGTCTGATTTCTGGCTATATCCCTAGTATCCTAACATATTGCCTTCCACATAATAGGTGCTTGATAGATATTGTTCAGTCATATTGAATTGAATTAAAAAAAAATCAGTGACTAGATTTAATTTAAAGTTCTCAGTGTTATAATTTAACTCATCTTCAATTTAACACTTTATCCATCTTTATGGAAAAGTAAGATAAAAGGACCTTATTTTCAACAAAGTTTTACAGTATTCATTGGTAGTTTTAGTTCTTTGGAATCACTGGAGATAAATGACAATATTAGAGCATTTATTAGGGAGCAACCAAAGCAGTCATCATTACTTGTTCTATACACGTTAGAAAGGGAAAAATTGTTGTCACTATTAAAGTATATTCACACATAATTCCATGATTCCTGAAGTAAGATCTATGATCTTAAGTTAAGATTTCAGTGGCTACATGCTTACTGTTCTCTTAAAACCTCTTCAGTCTACAGTATGGTTTGGGTTGGGATAAATATTTCACAAACAGCATTTCATTTCCCACTGGTTGTCTGCCATGCTTAGAATCTTCTCCATCCTCACCTCCTCCTCCTCCAGGTTTTCCTGGCTTCCTTCAAGTCTCAGCTCAAATGCCACCTTTTACTGTCTACCTCCCCTAAAGCGCATTCCCATTTAAAATGTGTATGTGGGTGTATGTGTAATGTCTCATAGGTACATAGTTGTTTTGCATGTTCTTTCCCCCATTAAAATGTGAACGTCTTGTGAGAAAAACCATGTTTATAATGCCTGACATATAATAATTACTTTTTATAAATGCTTATTGGTGAGTATTAGAAGAGATACCAAAATATAGAAACTATGAATGCTTCATAAGTAAAACTCTTAATAAACAGTTAATGGCAGGTATGGATGTGGCTTTGAACACATTCATCAACTTGAGTCACTTAATTCCTAAATGTCCAAAGACAATTACTAAGACTTTCTAATTAAGGGATGTAGCTAGTGCTTGTGTCTGTTGCCTGGGAAATAACCAGCCTTCAAAAACTTGAGTAGTTTATTAAGGTATAATAGGTTGTTTCCAGACCACATAATGCAGTGTTCATTTGTAGCTGTTGCCCGCTGTCCCCTGTTGCTGCAGTATTCTGACCACCCCACTGATCAGTTTCCTAATGTGGTCTCCAGAATCAATGGAACAGGCCTTTCAAATTAGAATTTAGAGGATAGTCATATTTTCCTCTCATTTTTAATGCAACACTTCTGGGTAGTGCAGTTAAATTATATAGTAGGTGAATATTACATTGATGCTCCTCTGGGAAAAGATTTCTACATCTTATCAGTGGCCTTTCAAATGATATTCAAAAGACCTGGATTAGCCTAAGCAGTGTACAGCACTCAAGTACATTGAATTAACTAGAAAAACATTTACCATTATGTGGTAGTCATGAAAACTGCATGAATGCTGATTGTCCTTATTATTATTTATTATTATTGAACACTGACAGTGTACCTTGATGGCAAAGTTCTTTATATCCTCATTGACATTCATAAGTGAAAGAAACTTTCTTTGCCATCTATTTAATTGGTAATTAAATTTTCCAAATAACTTTCTCTACAGGAGCTGGATTATGAAGCCAAGACGAGCTATACGCTGCGCATAGAAGCTGCCAATAAGCATGTTGATCCTCGCTTCCTGAGCCTGGGACCCTTCAGTGATATGACAACAGTGAAGATAATTGTGGAAGACGTGGATGAGCCCCCTGTGTTTAGCTCCCATTTATATTCCATGGAGGTATCTGAAGCTACCCAAATTGGCAATATCATTGGAACTGTAACGGCACACGACCCAGATTCTTCAAACAGTCCTGTTAGGTAATTTTCAGGCTCATTTGTTCCTGTTTCTTTTTGGTTTCATGAGTTTTGCCAGGTTATGTGTTTTCACCAGCTTAGTGTGCTATCAAGGTGCTGTACATAACAAAATGGTTGTCATAAACGTCAGATTTTTTGATTTTCAGTCTACTGACTTAAACCAGGGCAAGTGAAACAATATCAATGAAACACAATATTTTCATGATGTAAAATAATAACAACAACAATAATAATGTTACCTTATTATCCAAGGTCATTTATTTCATAGTAGTTTGGGAGAAATCCATTGTTACCCATAAACATAGCTTATACTCCTATGAAATCAATTATGCTGAACTTATTTCAGGACAAACTCTGTTCAGAAGAGAAGTGATGCATATCCTATTGGCAGAATAAATGTGAGTGTTAAAGATATTCATTAACAGTTTAAATTAGGGATTACTTTGTCAGACAAATTATATTTTTATAGTTGTTTATTTTAAAGGCACATGTTGGCTTAATTTATTATGTCAGCTTTGTTTTTGAAGACAGTGAAGTATGCACATGACCTATATTTTAAGGAGCCTTTGATTCAGTTAAATCAAATCCAACAAGCATTTAATTAGTGCCTGCTGTATACCAGGCACTGAGGGTACAAATACAAAAATGAACAATTCCTGCCTACAAGCAGCTTATGTTCTTTCTTATCTAAACACAGCATGTTCCTTTGGAGAGGTAGCCTTTCATAGGATATATGGAGCTAGTCTTGCAGTCAGGAAAACCTAAGATCAACTCCCATCTCTGGTCTGGCCAAGTCACCCAAATAACCTTTCGGTGTTCCATGCCATAAAACTCCATCAAACTGTAAGTTTCAGAAAAATCACAAATATGAATTGGGAGGGGAATGTCCTTTCTGGTATGTTCTTACACTTGCAAGAGGATGGAGCATTCAGGTCATACTTTTTCCTTCCTGAAGTAATTAAAGCAAAGTTGTCCACTTTTTTTCATGAACTAACCAGTTAATGATCTTTATTTCACCTTTTCACATTAGAGTGCCCAGCCTATAGTTGGCTTTCAATAAATACATGTGAACAAATCAATAAGTTAGTGCATGTCAGCTAAGTTATATTGCTATAGGCAGAATTGTACTTCTCAGAGAAAAAAGCTTGTTTGTTCTACATATGCTTTGCAGGTAATTCTGAGAGTATTGTGTTTGGGGAAGTATAGTTTTTTTCCCTTTGTTTTTGAATATAAAGTTAGCTATGTAGCTTACAGCAAATAAAAAGAGCATACAAAGATTGCAATTTGATAGCCTCACTTTTACAGGCAAAGAGGCTTATGCCAAATGCATTCACTTATATCCCAGGGAGTATGACAAACATATCAACCTGGTTTGTAGTATGTAATGATTTTTCCTTGGCATTTCTTCTCCCTGTCATAGTGCAGTACACTTTGCCAACTTCATCTGACCACACCACTGCCATTACAATAGTAACACGTCTAGGTTTTTTGTTTGTTCGCTTGCTTTTTTTTTTTTTTAGGGAATTTGGGTGTCATTTATTGAAGGCAGGTTATGCAGTTTGTTCTGTCCCACATGGCTATTCCCATTCCCTCCACAATAGAAGCCACAAAGATGTCCAGAAGGGCAGTGTCTCTGAATAGAAGAGCCAGGAACTCAGGACTCATACATCACTGGAGAACATAATCAGTCAGTGCTAAATGCAATCCCTCAGACTGAGAGTTCTCTCCTACTTTTGGTATTTAGGTGTGGCACGCATAGTATGTGCTATATAAACATCAACTATTGTTATTTTTTAAATAATATTTTATTTTTCCCCAATTGCATGTAAAAACAATTTTTAGCATTCATTCTTTTTTAAGTTTTGAGCTCCAAATTCTATCCCTCCCTCCCTCCCCTTCCCCCTCTCTGTGACAGTAAGCAATCTAATATAGGTTATACATATATAATCATGTAAAACATATTTCCATATTAGTAGTTTTTTGGAAAAAAAACTCGAGAAGAAAGAAAAAGGTGGATATCATTTTTTAGCATGAATTCTTTGGGATTGTCTTGATCGTTGTAGTGCTGAGAGTAGCTAAGTCATTCACAGTTGTTCATTGTGCATTATTGATTAGCTATCATCATTATAATTATTATACTACAAAAAAACTATATTTAGAATAGGCATTTAGAAGGTGCAGAAAATGGAGTGAGGGAGAAGTAGTTATTCTTTCTTTTTAATCATGAATCTAAAACTGAATATAAAATCCAAAAAAAAGTTTATGTTGGCATGTTCTATATTCATAGAACATAAAAATTTAGGATATGGAAGATAATTCATAAGTTGTCTAGTTCAACTATACTTGAACAGTTATGCCACAAGTGGCCAGCTGTCATCTGCTTGAAGACCACCAGTGATGGGGAACTCAACTTTTCTAAACAATACTTTCTAATTTTGGGTTCTGTACATATTAAGAGAACTTCTTTCCTTTACTAAGCTAAAATTTGCCTCAGAGCAGTTGACTACCATTTGCCTCTAGTTCTGTGGGGCTAAGCAGAGCAATATTAATGCCTCTTCCATGTGACACAGTGCTTAGACCATAGTAGATGCTTAATAAATGTTGATTGATTGATGTGGAAACTTTCTAAGTATTTCAAGACAATTACCCTCCTCTCTACTTCTTCATACTCCTCTCCCCCACAATATCAAGTCTTACTTTCTCCAGGCTAACCAGTTACAATTCCTTCAAGCCATCTCTTATGACATGGTCTCAAATTCCCTCTCCGTGTTCTTTTAAAGAAAGAATTCTTTCAAAAATGCAGTGCCTAACACTAAACACATCATTGCAGATGTCATCTGTCCAGGGCAGAAATACAGCCCTCTTCCCTCTCTGACAGTTTTTCAGATTAAAGATTTTTGATTCTTCTTATTTTGAACATAAGCTTTAGTGGGGATAGATGGATTTTATCCAAGAAATAGGAAGTTTCTCCCCTTGTATTCTCTTGTTTGAAATCTGACCTTGTTCAAACTCATGACTATTTTCTGTTTACTGAATTTTGACCTTTCTTTTCCCTCTGTATTATTGGTTTTCTACTTGTTACTCTTTCACTTATTATCCTCAAGGGGCAAAAAATTTTATATTGACTAAGAATTCCTACACAGCCCCTACACATAGCATGTATCAAAAAGGAAGCCAGAATAAATTAAGTACTAATAATCCCAAGATATTTATAGTACATTTTAAGGTGTTGAAAGTGGTTTTCTTGTAAGCCTATGATATAGGTAGTGTAGGTATGTTTATCCCCATTTTATAGATGGAAAAAGAATGATAAAAAGAGGTTAAAGAGATTAAATGTCAGAACCAGGACTAGAATCCAGATCTTCTGAACCCAAGACACAAGTATTCTTCCAACTATACATACAGTCTCAGGACTAATCAGCCTAGTTTGATTGAAAATTTTCATTGGTTAGGACTTCTCAAGTCTATGCTGGTGAATATGCTGTAGGCCAAGTGCCTTTGTACACTATAAAAGGCCATATAGGAGTGAACTATAATTATTATGGCATCATTATAGAAGGATTCAGTATTGCCTTTAGGAAACTGCAAAGTTCTTTTAATACTCCAAACTTCCCATGGAAACAAAACATCATCTTTTTTAATAATATCATTCTACTGATACTGCTTTATGGCAATAAGTCATGGAATTCAAAATGAGTATTTTTTTATTTAATATTTTATTTTTTCCCAGTTACATGTAAAAACAGTTTTAACATAATTTTTTTTTCAAATTTTGAATTTCAAATTCTCTCCCTCCCTTCCCCCCACTGGGAAGGCAAGAAATTTGACATAGATTATGCATTTCCATGTAAGTCATGCTATGGAAAAAAAAACACAGACTCAAAAAACCCAAGAAAAATAAGGTAAAGAAAAAAATATCTTTGATCTGCATTCAGTCTCAACAAATTCCTTCTCTGGAGATGGACAGCACCTTTCATCATAAGTCCTTCAGAATTGTCTTGGATACTTGTAATACTGAGAATAGCTAAGTTATTCACAATAGATCATCATACAGTATTGCTGTTACTGTATACACTGTTCTCCTTGTTGCTCATTTTACTTTGTATCAATTCACGTAAATCTTTCCAGGTTTTCTGAGAGCACTCTGCTTGCCATTTCTTATAGCACTATAATATTCTGATAAGGAACTTCTAATGAGAGTAAGCCAGACTGAAAAGATGCCATCAGGGAAGCGTGTGAATAGAAGAAAAGATGGGACATCCATGTAGCTAGGGGAAAGATTAATAGGCAGACAGCCCAGATGCTCTATTGGTACTCTTATGATGTCAAAAAAAAAGTAAGGAAAAACTCAAGCATGATGGGTAGAACAGCCAACTTATGGTAGGACATGGACAAGAGTTGTATGAGGTAGATTGCCATATGCATCTTTAGAGGGAGTATCTGGATGAATGAGGTAGTAGATACAGTTAAGTATTTGGGTTTAACAGCATTCCCAAGAAGTATCATGCCTATAAAGAAAAGTCAGTTCAAAACTAGAAAATGAATACATCAGAGGAAAAATTATAAATCTTTTTTTTTCACATTAGAAACCAGGACTTCCTATGATCAGTGCAAAAGGTTATAGAAGTAAAGGAATTGGAGATGTGACTAAGTGAGAGGATGAGCCAAATAATAAAAAAAAATGAGGTAATAAGGCATAAAAGCCAAGCAGAGCCTGGGCAAGGATGCTAGAGGGTTTCTAGTTTGTCCTCTGCAATCAATTAGTGTGAAACATGATGCCAAAGCATTGAACAGCAGTAGTTTGAAAAAACATCCAAGAGGAAGTCTTGAATAGAATGCTGCTCAATTAAGATGGTAAAGAATTGAGGCAGGGGGCAGCTAGGTGGTGCAGTGGATACGGCACTGACCCTGGAGTCAGGAGGACCTGAGTTCAAATCTGGCTTCAGACACATCACACTTACTAGCTTTGTGACCTTGGGCAAGTCACTTAACCCCAATTGTCT